TGCATAGCAATGGCTGCTATGACGGCGCGTCGTTAGCTATAGCGGCTTTAGGCCATGTCTAATTCAGTAATATAAATCAATGATTACATACATGGACACTGATACCTTTTAGGAAGAAATTATAAAGATCATTATAAAGCTGTGTTTTCAATGAAATCATGAACATCCACTGTTTTTAAGATACGAATCACTAATCTGGTGGATCTGCAGGGAGGGGTGTTGGGCGGGAGCTCGGCTGCTGACTGAGCTCCTGGGAGGAGCTTTGTATGAATAGGCGGAGCTTTGTACCGGCAAGCATTTAAGCAGCTTCACAGGAGGTTCAAGGATTCTTCAGACATGCATGAATGAGTCAAATCAACTCTCTGCGTATGTGTTTGATGAGAGAACGACATTAAAACATGATGTAAAGTTACATGATACCCCTCCCCCTTTAACAAATAATATAGAGCCTGAAAAGAATAATCAGCCAATCAGGTCAGCTGTTTGTTTAATATCTCATGCACCAGTGGACAAAGTTTACTCCCTCCACCTTCTGAAACCTAATCAGATTTAATCTGGTGTTTAAGGAAAAACTCTTTATTTTTTAAAGAGATTACACTCAGATTCTGTTTCTCAGCCTCGGCTCTGCTGTGTTACAGTTTTAGTCGGCTCCATGGCAACTGAACTCAGAATATTATAAAAACCATTAAATATTTATTGTTTAGGAGGRCAATCAGGGCTGCACATACAGAAACAGGCTGATACCACAGCACAGTTACAGCTGTGTGTGTGAAGGGTTAAAAAAAACAATAATAGGGTCTTTATGTGGGATTTTTGCTCATTAAAGCACAAAAAGGGTTTTCTGTAACGTCAGATGTTTATGGTGTTTTAAAAACTCACACATGTAATTTAAATTCCTGCATCAGATCCTTTTTCAAACAAAAATATTAAAAAAGTTAATTTTTTTATTGTTTGACGCTTCACAACACTGAGATCAGTTTTTAAACATCGAACTCGTTCCACAATCTTTGTTATTTCAACAATTCATATATCAAAATGTTCAGCTCATTCATGTGAGGGCTGCTAGGACTTTTGGTATTTCAGCTTTTTATGCGTTTTTAGCTGTTTCACCTTTTTTTAGCCACTTCTTTGCCATTAAAAACGAACAGAGCTGTTTTCAACATCCTTAAAATCATTAAAATTGTTTCTAAATCTTTACAGAACCTGACACATTTTGTTCTGGTTCTGCTCTTTTTCACATTCTTGTGCTAATTTTAGCTACCTTTTTTTTTTTTTACTAATTTTAGCTTTTTCAGCTAAAATTTTGCTTCTTTTCGCTATTCTTCTGCCTTTTCTTATTTTTAGTGTTTTTTCTGCTAGTTTGTGCTCTTTAGCTTCTTACAGATGCTTTCTGCTATATTCAGCTATTTGCTGAAATTTTAGCTAATGTTTAGCTGCTGTTAGCTAAAGTTAGATTTCTAAGCTAAATACACATTTTTTGTAGCTATTACAACTTTTTTCAGCTGAGTTCAGCAAACATGTGCTCCTTGTGCTAATCTTAAAAAATCCAGCTACTTTTTAGCTGTTTTACTGAAAATTTCGGCTGTTTTAGCTGTTGTATTACAAATGATCACTTTTTTGTAATTATATGCATTTTTACTGCTAGTGTCAACATTTTTTTACACTTTCTCTATCTGGGTGCTAACTTTAGCCTATTTTATGCTACTTTAGCTGTCGATTTTCAGTCGACTTTTGTGCTTTTTTCTGCTACTTTGTGCTATTTATGCTTCTTAGATGTTTTCAGCTATATTCAGATATTTTAGCTCTTGGCTTTTAGCTGTTTTCAACTAGTTATGTGCTCCTTTTTACTGTTTTTCTGCAAAGTCAGGCTTTTTTTTGCTTCTTTCAGCTTTTCAAAGTGAGCTCACATTAGCACTTTAAATATTTTCAGCTCAGTTTCAGCAGCTTTCAGCTGAARGTTTCAGCAGGAAGCATTCACACCAGCATTTTCTGCAAAAATGCAATTTCTCTAAAGTGATTGTTAACCCTTTAAAACACAGAAGCATAAATGTGCTCAGAGGGATGAAAGTTCACCTCAGTCAGATCAGTTAAARCTTGTATTCAGAGAAATATTGTTATCATTGTATAAGTTTGGGTTCACCATCTTCATGTGATTAACTTKGTTGCCACTGGCTCATGGGATATTTTGCTAACAGTACAAATGAAGAAATCCTGGCAGGAGTCGTTACCTCTGCTTCACCTCTGTGGCAGATCGATGATAAACAGAACCAGAACCAGCTGCAGCTGTAGTTACTGATGTGGGTATTTATACTCAGGTTTTAAAATTCCACCTTGTTTAGTCGTTTCTTTGTGTTTCCTCTTAGAGGGGATTTATTTATTAGCAGGACTCCAACAGACGGCGTTTTGTCCCAGCTGAACCGGGCACACACCAGAACCTGCTGTGTTTCTGTCTGCAGATACTACTCTGTGCTGTATCCATTAGAGAGGAAAATCTCTGACGCACGATCTCGAGATCTGGTCGTCTACATCTGGGTCCACGCCATCGTGGCTAGCCTCCCCGTGTTCGCCGTGACCAACGTGACGGACGTGTACGTCAGCTCTTCCTGCTCCGACGACCACGCCCGCTCCCTGGGCCACGTGGTCTACGTCCTGATCTACACCCTCACCACGGTGGTCTCGCCCCTGGCCCTGGTCTTCCTGCTCCTGCTGCTGATCCGCAGGGCGCTCAGCGCCAGCCAGAAGAAGAAGGTGATCATCGCGGCGCTGCGCACGCCTCAGAACAGCATCTCCATCCCGTACGTGTCGCAGAGGGAAGCCGAGCTCCACGCCGCCCTGCTGGCCGCGGTGCTGGCCTTCTCGGCCTGCAGCGCCCCCTACGGGGCCCTGGTGGTTTACCGCACCGTTCTGGCGGACCCCGAAGCGCTGCCCGCCTCGTTGTACTTCACGGCCCTCTGGCTCCCGAAGGTGTCCCTCCTCACCAACCCCGTCTTGTTCCTGGCTGTGAACCGCTCGGCACGGCACCGCTGCCTGGACCTGCTGTCCAGGATCCACAGGCGCTACAGTCGGCGCAACACCGTCAGCGTGGGGGGGCTGGCATCCTTGGGGGGCGACGGGGTCATCGGGGAGCCTGTGGGACTGGAGACGGCGGGTCGCTCCGGGAGCCAGCTTCTGGAGATGTTTAACATCGGCCAGCAGCAGATCTTTAGACCTGAGGAGGAAGAGGAGGAGGATGCTGAGAATCAGGTCCGCTCTCGGGGCTCCGGGGACTGCTCAGGCCACAAAGAGRACCAGAAGTCCGGGTCAAGACTCGGCAGCTTCAGAGGCGAGGTCAAAACCACAAAGGACCCCGGAGGAGGACTTGTCGTTACAAAGGAGGTGCCTCCGTCACTTCCTCGGGCCTCCCCCGTTCATGCGTGTGCGTACGCCTCCTCGTCGCAGGTGGCGCCCGCCACACCCGCTACGCCGACAGAGGCCGAGGACTCCACACAGTTCGGGTTCGGACCCTTCGAGCTGCCGCCTCAGTGGTTACCTGAGACCAGGAACAGCAAGAAGAGGCTCCTGCCTCCACTGGGGAACACGCCGGAGGAACTGATCCAAACCAAACTGCCCAGGCAGAGGCCCGAACGCCGCATCAGCAGGAACAACAAGGTCAGCACCATTCCCATCGTGGATCCATGAACGGGTCTGCTGGTGTTCCACAGGGAACAYGCCAGCAGATCCCATGTTTTTTATCATTTCTTCAAACTTTTTTAAGATTTGAAGTTGTAGCTTTTCTAGAAATGCTGGTTTTTCACCTTAAGAAGTAAAACCTGATCAGCCAGGGTTCTGCTGGCTGAAAATCTTTGATATCAAATATTTATCATGTTTTATGGGATAATTTTTGTGCCAGCAGGAATTGAATCTGAATGTGCATAATTTAAACTGAATTCATTGGTTTGAAAACAAATTTCACTAAATTGAAACTGAATTTAAAGTTTTGTATCTGAATTAATTTTCTTTGAAACTGTATTTTGGTTTATT